AAGTAGCTGGGACCACAGGTGCCCGCCACAACACCCAACTATTTTTTGGTTGCAGCCGTCATTGTTGTTTGGCAGGCCTGGGCTGGATTTGAACCCGCCACCTTAGGTGGATGTGGCTGGTGCCTTAGCCACCTGAGCCACAGGTGCTGAGCCACAGATAAGATTTTTTAAAATAGAAGAATAAATAAATAATGGGTATGAGGTTTTAGTGGGAAGAATAAAATTATTAGAATCATTGCCAGATGTAAGATAATTATGTAAAAATAAATTTCATTCCTACATGCTGGTAATAAACAATTAGGAAATATAATTTAAGAAAAGATATCGCAGCTTGGCGCCTGTAGCACAGTGGTTATGGTGCCGGCCACATGCACCAGTTGCTGTGAGCTGTGACGCCAAGGTTCTCTACCAAGGGTGACGTAGTGAGATTCTGTCTCAAAAAAATAAATAAATAAAAGATATCATCTGCCAAAGCAATAAGAGATAACAAATCAAAAAAGGAAGAAGATACCTAGGAATAAATCTAACAAAATCTAGGCAAGATTTTTAGAAAAACATTCTGAAACATCAGTGAAAGATTAGCAAAGACCTTAATAAATGGAAAAATGAACCATGTTTATTAGCAGGAACACTCAGTATTGTAAAAAATGCAAATTCTTCTCCAAATTAATTTTCAAATTCATTGCAATTTCTATCAAAATCCCAACAGGTTTTCTCAGTGGAATTTGATATGCTGACCCTGAAATGTGCATAGAATTGCCCAGGGCCAGGAATAGACTAACCAGGTGGAGAGTTGATCTCTTATCAAAAAGTCTTAAAGTTCATGAGCATGATTTGGGACTAGACCAACCGACCAGTGATTTAGTCTGCAGAACCCAGACATCACCCTTGCTTCTATTGTGACTTGACAAATGACAGAGGTGCAGTGGGGGGACTATTCAGTAAGTGGTCTGGGACAATAGGATATTCATTTGAAAAAATGTAATTGGTTCCAGTGCACCATACACAAAAATAAATTCCATGTGGTTGAAAGACCCAAATGTGAAAAACAGAACTTTTAGAAGAAAACAGAGGAGACTACCTTTATGACCTGAGAGTAGGAAGAATTCCATAAACAAACAAATTTTTAAAGGCACAAATCATAGTTGAATTGCTAATTTGACTACTTGAGGAGGAAAATTTCTGTTTAACCAAACAAAGCATAAGCCAAGTGAAATAAGAAAGCACCAACTGAAAAAAAGACCATTGCAAATCATAGAGTTTACATAAGATTAGCATCTGGAATATATAAAGAATTTCTACACGGAAGAAAAAGACGAAACACCCCAATGTACACACACAGCTAATTCTCAGAAGAAATCTGAATGTTCAAGAAACATTTACCAATATTCAACGTCAGTACTTATCAGGGAACCATAGAACAAGAATGAGATAGCATTTCATACTTATCAGATTGACAGAAACTAAAGATTCTGACATTATCAAAGGTGGGGGAGAATGTGGAGGAATGAAGAATAAAAAGAAAAGAAACCACACTAGGAATGAAAGTTCATCAACCCAACAACAACAACCACCAAAAAAACAGATAAATCCTGGCATAGTCTTTCAACAGAATGTTGAATAGCTATTAAAATGAGTGAACTATAGCTAAATGCACCACATGGCTAAATTTCTCAAGTATTATAGCTTAAAAAAAAAAAAAGCCCGAAGATACTATGTACAGAATAGCATCATTTATATACAATACGAAATCCTGCAAAGCATTATTTCAGCTTGTTCAGGATTGTAGACACATGCAGTGAGAGTATAAAAACACACAGAAGGATGTGAAACACCTCCTTTATTAAGCAGGTTACCTTGAAGGAGCGGAGGGGAATGAGATGAGAGAAGATATAGTCACAGGAGACTTCAACTTTTATCTCTTGTATTTTATTCTGCTAAAACAATATCTGAAACATATATAGCAAAGTACAGATATTTTATAAAGCTAGCCGAGATGTCCAAAGTTGTCCAGTGTTTGGAGATAACGACCAGGAGTTTGGGAGAGATGTTATAATTGGAGGAGACACCAAAATATAAACCCCATGGGACTGTGCATTTTGTTTTATACACTGCTCTATTCCTCCGCTGAGAAGAGCGCGCCTGGTACCAAGGAGGTACTAAACAAATATTTGCTAATTGAGTGAACAGAAGCAAAGGCCTTGAGAAACTTTGGAATACTTGTATTCTACAGTGTGAGAAGTTTGCTCATGTTTTTATACCCAGAGAAAAAAGCAACCCAAAGCTCTTTGGAAATCATGATGCCCATAATAATCATTCAACCTTTAAGAGTAATAGCTAACATGTATTAATTATGCACCATATACATGGGGCGAAGCCACCATTATTTGCTTTGTTTTTATTTGTCACAACTCTATGACACAGTTACTACTTTATTCCTTTTCAGGGTGAGGAAACCAAGGTGTCTTGCCCAAAGTCCCGTACAGAATAAGTGGTGGAGTTCAGCTTGAACCCAGTTGTCAACTCTCCCCTCGTATTTTAGCCACCACCTCTCACAAGCACAGCATCCAGTTACAGCAACAAAGGTTTTCCTGCTTTCAACTGGAAGGATAAAGGAGAACGTGTTATGAGCCAAACTAGAACGGAGCTTATCATTACATTCATGAACACCTGTCACATGTTAGGGGCTCTGTAAATGCTCGCAAAATGAGGTGGCATTTAGTTTCAGGAGACGAAAAGCAACCCAGTTTCCAAATGACATGTTTCACTGACGTAAATCAAATGGAAATTCACAAGAGGCTCCTGGAACTTGTGGGCGCAGAGGGAACTTGTGAGCTCCAGAGGGAAGGCTCAGGGTCCTCCCGTATCTCTCAGCCTGTCACAGAGCAAGACCAGGCCAGAAATACTCCTGAATGAATGGAGTCCCATGCGCTCCCAAATAGCCCACAGGTCAGAGGTACATGAAGAGGGGCAAGGTGAACAACTGGAAGTGTCCTATTTTTATCCAAAAGTGATAAAGAAACAATCAACACTTTCCCCCCAGGCAAACCCATCACTTGGATCACATGTGTCCAATTTATCCATCCATTCATTTCACAAGTTTTTACAGGACACTTACGCTGGCTGGAGTTGTACCCTACTCAGTCAACACTGAAGAGCCCCGGTCCCTACCAGACACCACGCCAGGCACAGTGGAGCAAAGACGGGCCAAACACAACCTGAGGTCCCCCAGGAGTGTACAATAGGGGGCACACAGGCATGTTGGCAATCACAACTTACAAGTGTTAAAGGTCACGGGATGGGGGGGGCAGGGAGGAGAGGAAGAGGTGGCAGTGTGAAGAAGGGAAGAGTGGGGGATGAGGAAGCCCCTCCTCGGACCACCTCTGACAATACTCTGGTCACGTTCTAATTATAAGATTTTCCCATTGACTCAAACAAGAGCTCTCTGATTAAGTTTCGAAAGAGCCGGCCGACTTTAAACATAGCAAACACAATGATCCCAGTTATGATGGCCTGAGCGACTAAAAGCAGAAAATAAAGAGCCAAGAACAGGGTATGGTCTTGACTATTGCCCGTGGCCGCCAGCTGTGTCCATGCCCAGGGTTCTGGGCTGTCAGGCACCGAGGTAGTGTGGCTGGGGGCTTCTGAGGAGCTGTGCACACGAGGGTGCGGAGACGGGCCCCGGGTGCCCGAGCACGTGGGGTCGGCCACCGGCAGGGCCCAGAGCTGCAGGCCGGCGCGCAGTCCGGGACCGCGGCACAGCGGGGGCTCCGTTCGGCCCACGAGCTCTAGATGCTGCAGCAGCCACCCCAGGAATGGCTGTAGGCCACAGTCGCAGCTCCAGGGATTGTGTCCCAGCAGGACCTCTGTCAGCCGGGGCAGACCCCCAAACAGGTCGCCAGGCAGGGTCTCCAGCTGGTTGTGGTCGAGCTGGACCTTCTCCAGGCTGCTGAGGTTGGAGAAGAGCGCGCGCGGCAGAGTCCGCAGCCGGTTGTGGCGCAGCGACACCTGGCGCAGCCGGCCGAGGCCGCGCAGCAAGCCGTCTGGGAGGGCGGTCAGGCTGTTGGAGTGCAGGGCGAGCACCCGGAGCTCCGCCAGGCCCCGGAAGGCGTCCGGAGGGAGTGAGCTGAGACGCGGGCTGGCAGTCACCCCCAGCGTCCGCAGGCGGCTCAGGTTGCGAAAGGCGGCGGCAGGCAGGGTGCGCAACCGGGTGCCGTTCAGCCACAGCTCGTGCAGGCCTGCCATCTCCCCGAAGAGCACCCTCGGGAGCTCTTCCAGCGGGTTCTCGAACAGAGTCAATACGGTCAGATTGTGAGAGCGAAGAAAGAGCCCTGAGGGCAGAAACTCGAGGTGGTTTTTCCCAAGCGTCAAAGAACTCAGGGCTCGCAGCTGGTCGACTGCGCCGGGCGCGATGGATCGGATGTGATTTCGGTGGAGCTGCAGCTCGACCAGAGCGCCCAGGCTGCTCAACAGCCCCGCATCCAGGGAAACCAGCTGGTTCGAGTGAACCAGAAGTTTCTCAAGTTTAGCCTGTGCCCCAAGTAAGCCCTTGGGCAGGTGGGTCAAGTTGTTTCCCGATAAATCCAATAATTTCAGGTTTTCCAGATTTGTGAAGAGACGAGCAGGAAGGAAATCTAGTTGATTTTCGTTCAAAAAGAGCTCCTGCAGGCTAACCAGTTTCTGAAACATGTTTTGGTCAATGACCCTTAGTGCGTTGTGATCCAAAAACAACTGTTCCAGGAGCACCATCTTATCCAGTAGCGAACCTGGAAGATGAGTGATTTTGTTGCGCGACAACTTGAGGGTTTTTAGTTTTATCAGGTCATTGAAGGTGCCGGGGGCAATGGCGGTAATGTGGTTGTCGGAGATTATCAGGCGCTGTAGGACCGTCATGCCGCTGAAGCTGTGCTTCTGCAGGGCCCCGGGGCGCATGCGAAAGAGCAGAATGTGAGTGAGGTTGGTGGGCAGGCCCAGCGCCGAGATGCGCGCCACGTCGGCCCCGGAGCATAGCGCAGAGTCCCGGAAGACACATTTGCAAGCTGGCGGGCAGCGGAAGGGCTGCGCCCGCAGGAGCCCCAGCACCGCGCACAGCAGGGTGCTCTTCAGCATGTCTGGAAAAGGCAACAAAACGCCCGCGTTCAATTTCGTGACCCTGCAGTTGGCAGAGGCACAGTCCTTTCGCCAGGATTCTCACTCCCTCTTTTCTCCGGAGTGCGATTTCCCTGGGTGGTGAAAAGACAAGACATTCATTCTACCCTACGAGGTCTCATTCTTTTGTTTCACTGATTTTCTATTCAGTTTGCAAAAACATTGAAATTAAAGCATTTTCAAGTTGCCGAACAACCAATAACTTTAAAATCTTTATATAGAGTAAACTTATTAAATGATCATTCTCATGTTCAAGCTTGAAGACTTTACAAAGCAGTGTCCATTGTGAAAACAGCTCTGTTCTTGACTTTAAAATTTACCCTGGGTTGGCTATAATCCACAGTCACCAAGGGAGTGGCAGAGCTTGCAGACACCATCTAATTCTTTTTATCATAATTATGCTATTTCTGCCGCACAAACTTACCTGCTAAAACAAATCAGCAATCACCTCATTAAGAGCCAAGCTAAGAAAAGCAGATAACAATACCTACCACTTTATACTATGCAGCATTTGCAGCCCTTTATGTATACCATATTCCTCTAGTCCTTAAATAACGGGATGAAATAGGGATTCAAGTGTCCCCAGTACAAGGATGAAGACACAAAGGCACTGAAAGTTTAAGTGATTTAATTAGGGACACAGTTAGAACATGAAAGTAGCACTTCTGAATGAACTATAAATAAGGAGCTGCCATTTCTAAGATGCTTAATAAAAATTAATACTCATGGCACTGGCTTGGCACCTGTGGCTCAAGCGGCTAAGGCACCAGCCACATACACCTAAGGTGGCGTGTTCGAAGCCCGCCAAACAACAATGATGGCTGCAACCAAAAAATAGCCGGGCGTTGCGGCGGACGCCTGTGGTCCCAGCTACTTGGGAGGCTGAGACAGGAGACTCGCTTGAGCCCAGGAGTTGGAGGTTGCTGTGAGCTGTGATGCCACAGCACTCTACCCAGGGGGGCAGCTTGAGGCTCTGTCTCAAAAAAAAAAAAATACTCATGGCATTGGATTATCTGTAAAATTCACACAATACTGATCTGCCAAAAACAAATGTCTCCCTGGTGGAAGTTTACACAATTTGTTTCTTGTACCAAATTTTTTTCTTTTTTTCTTTTCTTGTTTTTTTTTTAATTTTGCTTTCAATCGTCTTAGTTTGAAGTTTTTTTTAGTTTTATTTATTTATTTTTTATTGAGAGTCTCACTTCGTGACCCTCAGTAGAGTGCTCTGACATCACAACTCTTGAGCTTAAGTGATTCTCTTACCTCAGCCTCCCAAGTAGTTGGGACTACAGGAGCCTGCCACAACACCCAGCTTTTTTTTTTTGGTAGAGATGGGAGTCTCACTCTGGCTCCTGCTGGTCTCCAACCTCTGAGCTCAGGGCAATCCACCCGCCTAGGCCTCCCGGGGTGCTAGGATTCCAGGCATGAACGACCACACCTGGCCCAAATTTTATTTCTTATGCATACATAGACTGAGCCCTCTAATTTCCTATACAATTTTTTTAAAGATTTGGCCTTACCTGAAGCGGTTCTGCACCCCAAAGCAACTGAAAAGCTTAGAACTTTGCATGTGATTCTGCACTTTACAAAGGAAGAGGGAGGTATCCTTGCATCCTAAAGATAAACACTTTACCAGAATGAGTCAGGGAAAGGACCGTATCTCAGAGGGGCATGTTCTGTTGGTTTTTGTTTGGGGTTTTTATTTTGTGTGTGTGTCGGGAAATTTGAGAGAGTCTCACTCTGTTGTCCCATGCTTGAGTGCCATGGTGTCGGCCTAGCTCACAGCAACCTCAAACTCTTGGGTTCAATCAATCTTCCTGCCTCAGCCTCCTAAGTAGCTGGGATGACAGGCGCTTGCCACAATTCCTGGCTTATATTTTCTTTTAGTAGAGATGGGGACTCTTACTCAGGCTTGTCTCAAACTCGTGAGTTCAAGGGATCCTTCTGCTTCGGCCTCCCAGGGTGTTAGAATTACCGGCATGTGTCACTACGCCTGGTCTATGTTCTGGCTTTTAATGGCAAGTATCTTCAAACTGAGACACCATATATGTATAACGTCACTACTACTCTTGAGACTGATAAAGAGCAGAAGAGATTTCCCATGAATAGCACAATATGACTCTGTGATGCTAGCAAAGTTTAGTAATACAGTTGGATCACTGCAGTAGCCACAGTCCTAGAGGGTCACACTTCATTTGGCTCTTCCTTTCCATGCCGCTTGGTCCCAGCCAAATTCCAGTTTTTTTGTGGGTTTAAAAAAAATTCCTTTCTCCATTCAGGAAGAAGGCTAAAAATATTGTCAAATGTTTTGTCAATTTTTTTTTTTTTTTTTTTTAGGAATAAGGTACAAAACATTCTTCAGCATGTTCAGTAACAGCACTGCTAGGTTGAAGGGTGTTTGCAAGTGCCATTTAACTTGGGAATGTCAGCCTGCTTTCTGAAGTGGTTGTACTGATACGCACTGCCATCCTGCTCATATCCGAGTTCCTGTGCTTTATGTCTTTGCCCACACTGGCTGGTGACTTTCTAAATTTAATTTTTCAATTCATTCATTCTCAGCATGGTTCTTTTCATTTCCCTATTTAATGATGAACTTGAGCACCTTTGCATATAATTAAAGGCCACTTGTGCTTCATCTTTTGAGAAATTTGGGTTTCCTTTTGCCCATTTTTCTATATGCAAAACGTGGCTGTGTGACTTGAACTGTTGCAGACATTCTATGACAATATTGCCTACATTAAGACTTCCATCAAGACACCAGAAAATAGGTGAAAAGACAAATCTAGTTGAAGATATTTGATATCTTGTCTGACACAAGATTAATATCCAGAATATATGAAGAACGCCTACTACGCTGTGGAAGGTAATCAGCCTTTGCTGTAATTGTTGCTAATGACTGACTGAAGTTCTCTTCTAAGTCATGCAGTCGAGGATCACAGGTATGATGAAGGTTCTCATCAAGGGAAGCAACTCCAGAGCCCAGGCCAGCTCCCCTGGTGACCTCCTTAGTCAGCCATGCATAGGCACCTCAAGTGAAAGTGCCCTCTACCCATGAAAAGGCCAGAGAGCCTACAGAACAGACTGGGAAGGCAAACTGCAACAGAGCTTAAGAAGGCGAGCCCAATGCTGGTGACACTTCTTCAGCCTATTTCCCCAGGGAGACCTCCAGTCATAAGGGCCTCCAAATTCTTTTCTTTGGAGAGAGCAAGACATTTTGATTGGCCCAGAAGGGAAGAGTGGGTATAGAAGTCACAGACCGTGGGGGAACACTCTTAGGCCTATCCTCAGGGCAAGTTGATAAAAGAATGTAATGTATTTGGAATGGTGAAATTGATGGCTCCTGTGTTTCCTGCCTGAATCCATTGAACGGGTCAGAAATCTGTTGTCCCAAATGGCAGCTGCTATATTAAAGTCATAGAGCCCTGCCCTACAGGGTTTAGCCATTCAAGAGCCGGTGTCTGCCAGACATGTTTTTCCTCTGTGGGGAGACTCAAGAAGCCAGAGCACAGCAGAGATCTGCACTTACCAAGTAACCACAATCCCTATTTGGACTAGAGACAACCTCATTCAAGTTCCTGGGACTCCAGATTTCTTCTCCTGCAATATACACAGCATTTGGCAGAGATGTAGGGAAAGGAGAAACATGCAGGACTATGGCCATAGCAGCAGGCTATGGAGTCATGATCACATGCTGTACAAACCACAGTGATTGCAGAGAACTTGGGTTCAAACTTGGCCTTCACCCACCCAACTCATCTCACCACAGCCAGCAATATACTCCCTAGCAGAGGTCTAAGGTCTTTTAGGGAAACTGGGATATGAAACTACCTCCCACCCAAAAGTCCTGCCTTCTCTGGGATTTCTACAACCATGTTCTCCTGTTTCTCTCATCCCTCCCAAGAGTGCTCTTTTACCACCCATGGACATCACTTCACTTCGAACTTCCCACATCTTATACGGGATTAGCCTTTGACTTGATCCTCCCAACTGTTAGTGGGGTATACACCCCTACTCTTGTATTTCCGCATTTCCCTCAGACCTCCTGACACTCACATTTGGCTCTACATTGTATCTGATTCGTGGATTTCCCCATGATGGTCACAGACAGGATATGTGGAACGTTGGTTGTACTTCTTTCCTTAAAAAATCCAAAGTTGTGGCTCAAGTGGCTAAGGCGCCAGCCACATACACCTAAGGTGGCGGGTTCGAATCCAGCCTGGGCCACCAACAACAATGATGGCTGCAACCAAAAAAAATAGCAGGCATTGTGGCGGGCACCTGTGGTCCCAGCTACTTGAGCCCAGGAGTTGGAGGTTGCTGTGAGCTGTGATGCCACAACACTCTACCCAGGGTAACAGCTTGAGGCTCTGTCTCCAAAAAAAAAAAAAAAAAAAAAAAAGAAAAGAAAAGAAAAGAAAAAAAAATCCAAAGTTGAAAAAGGGAAAGGAAATAGGCAAGTTAATAACCCAGAGGGCAGTATTCATGTAACTTTTGAAAAAGCAAACAAAAGTATAAACGCAGAGGAAGAAAACAAGTGTTATCTCATTCCTTAAAATTTTTATTTTGAATAGCTTCAATCAAAAAGATTTCATAAGTTTATTTACAATGCTGAATGTACAATTATGAATGTATGCCTTTTTGACAACAGGGTACCATTCTTGAGCAGCAATTCAATTTTAAAAATATAAAGATGCAGGATCATTTCTGATATAAAGTTACTTAAAAAACTAAAGTCTTAGGGAATTCACAAATCATAACAGAAAGTAACTATCTTATTAATTTAATATACACATAATTACCAAATTTTAATACATTAAAAATATGTGTAAATACCCACAGACTGTACAAAAATTAACACCCCATTTTGTTAAAAGTTCCCAACCTTCTCCCACCATAAATATACAAAAACCTATTTTTAGATATACCAAAATTGCATGCACAAAGTATCAGAATGTTTGCTAAAGCTTGAATTTTCCTCTTTGCTGGATCATGTTATCAATAGCTGTTTTTGGAACAAACTACATAAACATTGATATTTTATTTACCATGCCTTTGAAACTGTGCAGTAATTTCATAAACATGGGAAACAAAATTAAATAGATTAAAAACTGCAACAGTTTTGTTTAAATGCAAGTGCAATTTGGAAAGCTTTCGAATTTAAGGATTATAAAACTACTATAAAAAGTATTTATTTTTGTTGGCTTAGCCACTTTTATTCAAGCATTATTTGCAGCATTGCTTTACAGCAGTTGGTGCTAAAAGATACAAAACATATAGTTACCACTATTTATACTTTAGGGAGGAAAAAAAAACCTTTAAACAACCCTGAGGGAAACACACATTAAAAATCTTGTTATTTATTTAAAAAGTTTAAAAGTTACATATCATTATTTAACAATTACTTTCCAAGACATCTCTGTCCTTTAAGTATGTGCATAAATAAAATTTAAATCAGCAATATTTATTCATCTTAATACATCAAAATAATATATGTACAGATTTTAAAATTTAGGTCTGTATAAACTCAAATAATTTAATGTGAAGTTCAGAATCAAACTTACTATGTAATGGTGACCTACAGAGAAGACTCAGTCTAGCTATGGCACTGAGTAAGACCCACACTTGAATTCAGTCTTCAAATAAGATTCTCAACTTGACACCGTTTCAGGTTCAGATCTTCCTTCAAATGCTTTTCCCACCTACCTAAAGACTTGTTCCCTTGAAAACAATATGGACAGATGTGATATAAAACCCTTATTAACTCTAAATTTTTAAAAAGAGGTGTCAAAAATAGCTCTTTATGATCATGCTCTTAAAGATGTTAAATACGATCTGATAACTGGATTTTTAAGCTGCTACTTGGCAATTCCTTTAATTATATGCCTCAGTTTTTAAACCAAAGAATAAGATTTACAGTTGTGGAACTCACTAAAGAATAACACTTGAGCATATTTAAAATGAATATGGAAATTATAAAACAAAAGAGTGAATAAGTAACTCTAGAAAACAGAGCTAATTCACAGCTCAAGAGGTCTAAGATGCATAGCTTCATAGAACCATTCATCGAACATGTTCTTATCATCTAGTGTGTATTAATATCATATTATACATTTTGATGGAACACTTCAATTATATTTTTGTAAGAATCATCAGTGGCAACAGCAATAACAGTGATCCTGAGTGTAGCTTACAGTTCTCTACAGTTACTAATCATCATTCAGGTCTTTGCAGCATAAAGAATGAGAACCATTTGGTCCTACAATTCTGGGTACAATTTGGTAAACTGGTAAATGTATACTGGGAAAATAACAATCAGCTAGAAGTAGAAAGTGCAAGCATGCTACTGGTTAGAAGAACAAAGGAAAATGTCACATTGTTTTAATAGTTTAGTGTCCATTTCATAGCAGTATCAACTGCTGGATCCTACCTATAAGAGCATTTTAAAAATTAACTTTGTTTAGAATTTAAACACTGTAATTGGGCAAAACAGAAAGGTGAAAAATATTTTCCACAGTTCTTTTGGTTTAATGAAGGTCTATCTTAAACGTTCCTCCATTTCTTCTCCCAGAAACTTCCACACCAGATGCACTTAATTTGTCACCATCCAATCCCAAACAGTTATGCTCTGACCTCTGGCGCCACCTAATGGCATAAAACAAACTCCTACCAAGTTCATATTGCTTTGGGAAAACATAGTCATTCAAATCCAGTATTTTTTAAGCCTCATTATTGACAGAAGAGACCTATATAAACCTCAAAAGATCTTATGAGATTTCTTAATTTTTCCTTAAATTTCTAACTTAGGAAAACCCCCACTTTTATCTTATGTCATAGGGTAATTAAAAATGTAGAAGTAGAATAGAAAAAGACATTTAAAGTAATACAAAGGCTTCAGAAGGGGAAAAAAATAGGTTTGAAGAAATGTTAGACAAATGGGTCGACATCTACTGCCAAAAGAAGTAATCTCCTTCCTAGTGAGTAGTTCTGCAACAGTTAACTGAAGCCAGTTAGACTACTGACACCACACGGAGCACAGCATACACCTGACAGTCTGAGGGACATCTCAAGAGGGCAGTGAAGCACCTTGCTGATTAGAAAAATAAAACCCAGGCAGTTTGCACAGAAAATATAAAACCATAAATGGAAATTACCTGAGTTATTCTATAAGTAACACCCTACAAACTCACTCCTAAATAGTCTAGACCATTGAAGGGAACTGCTGCATGTTTACAGGGAATTCTTTTGAAGAAATATTAGAATCAAATGAAAATAGGTTTTCAATCTGTTTTCACTGGAGGCTAACTGACATATTTTATTTTTACCAATTACAAATTGAGGGCCTGTATATAAATACAGATCTTTTCTAAAAAGAGGGTTGTAAAAAGAAACTTAAGGGTGAATACTAATCTCAGAAGCTAATGTCTAAAACCCTACCAAACACCAAATTTCTCCTGTACCTAAACCCAACGTAAAGAGGGTAACAATAAAGAAAATTCTGGAAATGCATATAACAATTAGGTTACTGAATGAAGATACAGGATTACAGACTGTTAACTGTCAGGCCAATACTTTTTGTTGTTTGTTTTAAAAAAAAATACCAACAAAGTTCTCAATTCAGTACTATATCAAAAGGGACATAAATCGAAATAATGCCACTCTGACCCACAGGAGCAGAAAAATCTAAAACCACATTCTCCTGAATACTGTTATGAGCCTGCCACTGAGACCGGTTCACTGCTGTGTGCTACGTGATGGTGATGATTTGGCATGATCCGTTCTCCTTAACTAAAGCTTTAGCTTCTGTTGTTGTCTGGGGTTTTGGCGGCCATTCTGGATCAACCAAGAGCTCCTGTGCCAGATACATGTACTTTGCCTTTGGTATCTTCTTTCTACAGCGCAGGGCCCAGGACAAGCAGCATTTTCCCCACCGATCCACTGACGCCTAAGAAAATAAGAAAAAAATAACAAAGGCTTGTTTTTAACAGGTTATGAAAGGATACATCGGCACAGAAAAAAATAACAGAAAATGACTTCTGAGCACAACAAACAAATGGAAAAATCCAAGTTTAAAAAAAGGGCATCTTTCCACTATTTAGGGACTAACTATAAATTTATTTTATTTTATATAGTTTTATGACCTATCCTCTTGTGTACTGATAAATTTTTTAAATAACTTGAAGATCTAGACTCTATAACACAAATATCTAATGTATTGATAACTTTATTCAAAGAAAGAAAATATTTTAATATTTAATTTGGAAATCCTCTTATTCTATCCCAAACTACCTTTTGGTACTATTGTTCCTAGCAAGTTAGCCACCTGATCATTTTGGGAAGAAAGTAGTATAAAAATATCCTTGTTTCTGTTAATATCATCTTTCAAAACATGATATAAATATTGTTAGGTCAAGGGCGGTGCCTGTGGCTTAAAGGAGTAAGGCACTGGCCCCATATGCTGGAGGTGGAGGGTTCAAACCCAGCCCCCAGCCAAAAACTGCAAAAAAAAAAAAAAATTGTTAGGTCAAAATAAGGATTTATATCACGCTTAATGTCAATCATGTCTTTTAAAACCACATCCCTACTAATATAAGAAAACTTTTGTTTTATAATGATGATTTCCTTTGGTGTTCCACAACTGAAAGCAGTACATAGAAATATACAAAGCAAGTACTATTTCTTAGTATTATTTCATTATAGAAAGTTCTGCCATCACTGAAATTCTGATCAATCCTGACTTTTTTTGAGAGTGTCTCACTTTGTTGCCCTCAGTAGAGTACCATGATGTCACAGCTCACAGCAACCTCAAACTCGTGGGCTCCAATGATTCTCTTGCCTCAGCCTCCCAAGTAGCTGGGTCTACAGGCACCTGCCACAACACCCGGCTATTTTTAGACACGGGGTCTTGCTCTTGCTCAGGCAAGGTCTCAAAATCCTGAGCTCAAGCGATCTGCCCATCTTGTCCTTCCAAAGTCCTAGGATCACAGGCATGAGCCACTGCGTCCCACAATCCTGATGTTTTTAATAACTGTGACCTTAGATAAATAATCCTTGGAGAACAAAAAATATAGTCTCTGGCTAATGTACAGAAATGTAAATTCAACAGAAGATCAAAAAGTGACCTCAGAATTTATCTCAACTGAAACTTGAAATAAATGAAATTAAACATAATGACTATACCAAGACCTGGCTGTAGAAGTTACATCTATCTATGAAAATGGTTAATTTTAATTATTTTGGCTGTTGCTTTGTGAAGTAAAATTTAAATCTCAGCTTGTTTCATTTTGTCAACCAATATACAACCCAGGCTACAACTAGATCTGTTTTAAACTGAGATAATCCCGCAAAGGGGAAAGATGACATAACTACATAGAGCATGTAGAGACACATATTCTAATGTTAACATCCCAGAAGTCTCATGATCAAGTAAGCCAAGTTTGCTGCTCTAACAGGTATTCTGAAGCTTGTTTCTAAACGGGCCAAACGGGAAACATCAAAAATACTTTTTTTTTTTTTTTTT